CCTGCCGCAGGGCCACGGCCGGGCCACCGGAGCCGGGAGGGCGCCAACACACACGGGCGTGCGCGTGTGCGCACGCTAGTGCCGGTAGCCCTACCCGGGGGTCGAGTCCTTTCCTGCCAGGCCGAAGGACCATTGCGGCGTGGCAGGCCCCGAGTGCACATGCGGTTCTAGCCAGGGGGACCGAGGGATGGGGTGGCCGGGCGGGCGGGAGAGGGAGGGTAGGCGGGGTGCGGCCATGCTCGCGGCCCTGCCACCTTGCCCCCTGTCCCGGACCCTCTCTTCCCTACTCCGGCGGAAGCCGCGCATGTGGGGTCCCCTCGAAAGAACCTGAGGTGGGACAGCCCAAGAGAGAGAGAGAGAGAGAGAGAGGGAAAGAGGCGGAGAAAAAGGCTACCAACAACGGGGACCGAGCCAGCAGGCAGGCAGAAGCCGGCCAGCGGCCAACCTCGTCGGGGCGTCGCAGGAAGCCCGTACCCTCACACACAGCCGGACGGTGCACCCGGCGACCAGACGCAGGAGGGCGCGAGGGCGCGAGGGCGCGAGGGCGCGAGGCGGACACCGCCAAGCGCGGTGCAGGAAACACGCACGGCACGCCCTCGCATGCCTGCCCACGGGCACGCAAGAACTGCCCGCCCCCTCCGGCGGGAAAGTTGGAGGGAGGAGCGCTCCCCCGCGCGCGCGCGCGCGCACACGCCTGCCCCCCGCCGCTGGTGTGAAAGCGTGAAAGGCCCGCCATGCCCTTGCCTCGACGGACGCCGCTTACCCAAGAAGTATCGCCGGAAATAACGTTATCCCGAAGGGGGACAGGGTGGGAGGGAGAAACGGGAGGACTTTGTCACGGTGTGGGGCGTCGGGAGAGGGGGAGGGGGGGGGGGGGGGGGTGCCGGGACGCGCGGATGCGTGGGCTCGTGAGCGCGGGCGGGTGCGTGCGCACGTAAGCGCGCGCAGAGCCGGGGATGCCGGGGCAGCAGGGGCCCCGAACTTCCCGCCAAAGCTCCGGTCTGGGCAAACTTTGGCCCTCGCTCTTTTTTCCACGGCCCCGAGGCAGCAGGTGGGCGGAGCCAGGAACCTGGAACCTTCTGTGCCAGGGGCGGCGCCGTCCTTCCACATGGTGGTGTGCGGCCGGCTCCCCCCTGCCTCTCCTTGCCCCACCCTCACCCCCCCCCCCGGCAGACACACCCCTTCTCAGGTCGGAGTCCGAGCGAGGGCGGGGGGGGGGGGGGGGGGGCCGCGCGCGGGCAAAAGGGACTTGGCCCAAGATCCAAGCCCTGGCAGGGGGCGAGGCCGGCCACGCTGTCGCACCCTGTGGGCGAGTACACGCGGCATGCGCCTTGCGGGGAATACCGCGCGGCGTTCGACTGCCCAGTGGGGAGGCGCCCATGCGCGCCCACGCGGGGGGGTCGGGCGAGGGAAAACGCGCCCACATCGGGCCTGTGTGCACCACACTCCCCCGCACCCCCGCCGCCGTGAGCCCTTGCCCCGGGCGGTGGAAGCGAGCACAGCAAGGAAAAGGGCCCGACAAAAAGGAGGGCGGACGAACCGCATTCCGGCAATCGACCCGGCCCAGTGTTGTTGCAAGAGGTGACAAGCACGGCGGCCGCCTTTGCTCATAGCCAAGGCAAAAGAGTCAGCACGAGGGCACGGCGCGGGGGCAGGCCAGTCGCCACACAAACATCCAGGCCGGCTGACAGCGACACTCGGGCATTAGGTGCGGCACGCACGCACGCACGCACGCACGCACGCACGCACGCACGAAGCAAGCAGGCTCACCTGCCACGAAGCCGACCCCGATGCGAGGGCGCCCTGCACGCTCCGAAGGCCCGCGACCTCTGCCCCCCCCCGGGAGGCGTGAGCCCAGACCAGCCGGCGCCTCGCCCGCACCAGGCCTGGGCGGGCATCCCTCATGGCACCCCCGGGCGAATACCGCCCCGGGCCGCCTCTCGACTCCAATCACCACCAGCGGAAGCGTACCCACGCGCGCAAACGCCCCGCTGGCACCTGCCCCCCTGCGGACGGTGGACGAGAGACGCCGGTTACCAGGGATTGCCCGGGCAAGGATGAACAATATTCACATTAGTTTAGGCATGCCCACCGCCCGAGCAGGGGGGGGTTGTGCGCGGCCCGGCCAACGGGCCGATCCACCGGCCCGCCCACCCGTGAGCATGCATGTGCCCGCACGCACTCCACGAAAAGGGGGGGGGGGGGGGGGGGGGGGGGGGGGGGTAGGCCCCGGGCCCACGACCCCGCCACCCCCCCCCCCCGGGCCCGAGGAGCTCGGACTGGGCCACGATCTTCGCTGGGGCCCGGCGGCAATTTGATCGGGGGCAATCTGGCCGCGAGGAGCTTGCCCCCTCCCCCCCCCGCGGGAGGGCGGGCAGCGAAGGGTCCTTGGACCGCGAGACCCCCAGCCCGTGCTTCCTCCCCCCGGCCCCCATCGTCGCCGGCACCGCCACCGCCGCCACACAGGCGAGGGCCAGTGCGAGCGACGAGAGGGGCCCCGCCAGACCGGCGGGGAATCGGCTGCCCGACGACGACCGCCACGCTTGGCTCTTGCGATCGACAGGTCGGCTGCGAATGCGCTCGCGGTGCCGCAGCCCGCCCCCCCCACCAAAGACAGGCCCAGCAATTGGCAAGCGGAGACCGCGGCAGACCGTCCCATCGGCCCGAAGCCGGGCGACAACACCCGGGCACGGCTCCGTGCCCCGCACAAACACGCGAACCCCTTCGCGGGAGGGGCCTCACACGCAGCGGCCAAGGGGATCCCCTCCATCGCCGGTGTCAATTTTCCGACCCGCCGCCCGCGCTCCTGCGCGCAGGCCCTCCGACCGCCGCTCCCCGCCATACCCCGCCCCCCTCGGGCCACCCCCCCCCCCCCCAGGGTGCTGGGTCCTGACGACCGAGAGGTGAACGGCCTCTGCAGGTGGTCGGGCCCGTCTGCAGGTATGCGCGTGTGACCGGCCTCCATCAGAGCGGGCGAGAACCACGCCCTCCCCCCTCACGGAGAGGGGAAACCACCACACAGGTGACCCGGAAAGAAGGGCACCGACCACGGGGGGGGGGGGGAGAGGGGCGGGGAGGCGCTGACCGTCGGGCTCTCCCCGTGTGGCCCACTCCTCCCCCGCGGCCCGATAAAAAAAAGGCAATCGAGATGGCAGTTTCAGAGACAGGCCCCCGATCCTGCCGCCCAGACTCCCCCTGCGTTGCCCCCCCCCCCCTTGCCTCCCGCAGGACTCACCGCCTTCTCCGCTCG